ACTACACCATCCACTCGAACTATGGCCACCAACGAAAAACCAGCTGAAAACAAGCCGAATGTGAAAGGACCACAGACGACTGCAAAGAGGATTCAAGTTCCTCGGCCAAACAAGATTTCACGTCCCGAGTATGTCATTTCATCATGCCTTTGTCATGTCCAAAAAACTAATTTCAGGTTCTAGAGTCGATGGGATTAATCGCACGGCCGAAGGATTCCTGCAACTATACTATGATTTGATGGACGGTTCTCAACGAGACGCTGTAGGTGACATAACATTGACGCGAGACTATTCACTAATCTCATTGACAGAGAATTACTCTGCTATACCGAGACACGTCGTTGATGATATGGAACGGCGAGACCATAACTGGAGTAGAAAAGGTACGTCACACCTATCCGAACCCTCCATAAACCCACCGACCAACTTCACAGATCAAAGAGTTTTTGGCCAAAATGCCAGAGTCTAAACACGAGATTCAAAGTTGGGATTGTCACCCGATTCCAGGGAGCGCTACAACGACCTCGCCTCCCATCCTGATCACCGTTTCCGGTACGGTCCTTCACGGGACGATGCCCACCAAGATTCCACAGACGAAAAAACCAGGAGTATTGCCTCGAGTGTTTTCCCAAACATTTGTGCTTGCTCATGACCCTGCTTCACAACCACCTGCTACAACATCTGACCAACCGGCAAGCAACGAGGTGTATTACGTGCGCTCCGATACCCTCCGTTTCGTGGGTTGAGGCTCGTACGCTGGTCTATTCCAATTCTACATGTACTTTTACTACTTTTATAAAACATCCTCACTCCCATACTGCTCTTTATAAGCCTGAATCGCCGCCAACTCTTTCTCCCCTGCTCTCCCCTTGGAATACTCGATGATATCCTTCAGCGTAACAATCGCTACCATCGGCACGCCATACTCCTTCCTCAACGTCCCAAGTGCACTCAACCGACTCCCTTGTACACCCGTTGTCTCTTGCCTATCCACCGCAACAACCATACCCGCCAACACACCTCCATAGGCTTTGATAATCTCGACCGCCTCTCTCTTGGCCGCTCCGTCGGTGATCACATCATCAATGATCAACACCCTCTTGCCTTGAAGTGGGGCACCGACAAGCGTACCACCCTCTCCGTGATCCTTTGCTTCTTTACGATTGAAGCACCACTCCTTTTGACCAAAGAGTGTGGGGTTGAGGTCTGCGAGTTTGATAGCTGTGATGGCGCAGAGCGGTATGCCCTTGTACGCCGGACCAAAAATGACATCAAACTCGAGAGGTGACGGGTTTTCTGAGGAAGATGTACAAGCGTCGGCTATGGTTTGGGCGTAGGCGGTGCCGAGCGAGGATAAAAGGGAGGCGGTCGAAAAGGAGCCCGCGTTGAAAAAGTAGGGCGAGATGCGGCCTGATTTGACTTTGAAAGTGCCGAATTGGAGGATCTGGTGGGCGTGGCAGAGTGCGAGAAATGATTGCTTCGGATCGGGTTGCAAAGACATTTTTCAAAATCTGAAGAAA